GGACCTGTTTGGGGGGCGGGGTAGGGTGTGAATCGGGCGGGAGTGGGTGCAGGGTGTTGGTGCCTCTGATAGCTGATTCAGGTTTGGGACCCATATAGCTCCGCGACCTGGGTGCTGTCCCTTTCCACAGACACCCCCTTGATACCAGTCTCCTGTCTGTGCGGGAGGTGTGGCGCATTTGGCAAAAAGCAACCTGTGCATGGTAGATTAGGAAGACTACAGAAAGATTTATCCCCCTATCAAGACAGGGTGGTTTCGTTGGCTTTCATATTTAGAGTTTATGCCCATTTTAAACAAAGCAGAAGACAGCCTGAGAAGTATATCTACTTTAAACGATAAGTCCATGTAAAATGGGGTGGTATTTTTCCATCTTTGTTACTCAGGTTCTCTATCTCTGCCCACTGTACTTTGAGGTGTGGAAACGGTGGTTCAACGTAAAGAAGAAACCTTTTTGAAAGATTTATTTAAAATGCATGGAATTAGTCTGTTCCTCAAATTTCTGGTTCTGGAAACCCAAGCGCCATCCACCCCTCACAGCCCCTGGTAGAGAAGCAGACATACAGATTTCATAGACTTCCTGATGGTGGGTACCTGGAGGATGAACTGTGGCAGCAGAAGATATTTAATTTCTGATTCTTAAAGAGGTGGTGTTAAGACCTGTGTTCTGGTTACCTGTCAATTAACCTGTTTTTTTTTTTTCTGCCACTGTCAATATATTTTCTTGGTATTTTGCTGACTACTCCTTCCTCTCTCTCTAGGGTATAGCTTTTTCATCTAGAGGACTATTTGGTTGAAAGAATAACATCTCCAGAGGACCCCTGCTGTGTAGGCAGACTTGGGTGAATGAGGTAAGATGTTTGAATGAGAAGAGGGAAGAAGAGCAGGGTCATGTGAAGATAGTATTGAAATAATCGCCCCATTACCTTTCTTATATGCTTTCTATAAATAGTTGCCTGTGTTGCACTTCCCACTCTTGGGTCTCATACTTTTGTTCAGGGGAAAGGTGTAGCATTTCCTGGGAAAATGACTGGCTTCGGAGATGGGAGGAGGTGTAATTAGACAAGGTGCAGGTCTTGGGAAATTGGGTGGGAGGAACAGATTGGTGGGAGCCATTTAACCTGGTCTTGAATATACAAAAATATGTTATAACCCTTATCATGGGGCATTGGGCCATCTTAATTGCTTCTGTTTTCTCACTTCTTCCTTTTATCTATCCATAGATTTGTTCCTTTACCTTTATAAGTTCCTGTCGAAATCTGTGAGTCACTGTTCACTACAAAAACTGTCTGTTGGAAACCTAGGTAAGTATGAGCATGAACAGTGGCTTGGGGATAGGAATTGGCTGATGGCAAGTGGGTGAGGCCAGATCATCTCTTGGAGCCTTTGTCGCCCAACTTTCTGACACCTGTGCTCTCATTTGTATATAGGAAATGGGGGGTGGGGTAGCCAGGTTTGCTCCTGTAGGGTAATTAAATAACTTTGGGGCAGAAGTGGGGAGGGCAGCTGTGAGGAGAACCAAGCCAGAAGTGTGCTATAACCAGATTTCTGTATCTGGAAAAGGAAGGTATTTGGTCTAGAGACCTGAGTATGTAGCTGTCTACCAAATAATCAAACTTTCAATCTTAATCTATATTTTTATTCATAGATCCACCTGTGATTTGGCTATAGGGCTTATCAGCACGGACCAGAAGGAAGGAGGAGAAAGTTGCAGGTTGGTGTCAGACCTACTTGAATAGACATGTAGAGTGTAGTGATGTGTGCTAAAGGGATTTGGTGCTCCTTAGCTTCTTTCACTCACAGCAAGCTTTCCTTGTGCCCCTTCTGAACGTGATGCAAAGAAAGGAGTGTGGTAATACATGTTCAGGACTTCATTGGGCATCACTGGGGATGTGGAAGGGATTAAACAAGGGGACGGTATTTTTCAGTCCTACCACATGGTCCAATTTTACTGTTGCATGTTCTTCTGTGTGACTGATTAGAGAAGTACAGTTGGAGAAGACTCAAAGCCCATTTCCTTCTTTCACCCAGGTCCTTTTCTAGTGGTGGCTGTGGTGACCTTGGAGTGGCAGATCATCACCTTCAACAGATCTGCACTCAGAAACTGTCTCTTCTCCCAGCCTGGTGCTTCTGCCCTCTGTGTCATTGACAGAGGCAAGTGTTTGCAAAGGGGTCTGTGTGACTGCTGAACTGACAATTGATTCTTAACTCTTATTGCCAAGGTTGTCTCTGACAAAGAAAAGAGTGTTAAGACATTGATCTGGACACATTGAGAACCAAGACCAAGACTGTGTAACTGGGCTTCAACCATGGCTGGGTCTAAGAATGGGCGTAGAAACAAGGCCAAAAGTGGCAAACGGTCTGGTGCACAAGCTGAAGGAGAGAGGGCGGCCACTGGTGTAGTTAAATCTGTAGGCAGGAACCAAGCTAAATCAACAGCCAAGTCAGGATCTCAGCCAAAGGCAGGGGCAGAGATGAAGGCAGTATCTAAGAACAAGATTGTTCCTGAGAAGAAGAAAGGGGCCCCTGCAGAGACCACTCCCAAATTTCAGGACGAGGCCACTAAAATGTCCCGGGTTTGCTCTGTGCCTGAGACCCGTACTGAGTCCAGGTGGACACGTAAAGACAAGACTGGTATTGATACCTGGTTCTGGGCTGGGGAAGAGACCAGTGTTGGTTCCTGGTTCTGGAATGGAGAAGAGGCAGGTAATTGTGCCAATGTTAAGAATGAAGGTAAAGCTAAGGATATTGGTCCCCTGTCCTGTGTTGCAAAGTCGGAACCTGTGGTGGGCGCCAGCTACAAGGCTAAGCCAGGAGCGGAGGAGGAAGAAGAGGAGAATGTTATCGGCAACTGGTTTTGGGATGGAGATGAAACTAGTTTTGATCCTAATCCTAAACCTGTGAGCAGGATAATTAAGCCCCAGCCTGTGGATGAAATTAATGAAAAAAATAGGCCTAAAGACTGGTCTGAGGTAACAATCTGGCCTAAAGCCCCTGCTGTAACTCCAGCAGTGTTGGGATTTAGGTCCCAAATCCCATCTGAGATAAAGCCACCTTCTTATATTGTCCTGGCCTCAGCTGAGGAAAACACTCACTCTTTGCCTGCAGCAGCAGCAGCAGCAGCAGCAGCAGCAGCGCCAACACCAATGCCAATACCGTGCTCTTCTAGGAGCACCCCATCAGGCGCGCAGTCTGCCCCTGAGCACCCATTTGGTTCTGACCCTTGCATCCAGACCATAGAGGAGATCAGACGCCAGATTAGGATCAGGGAGGTGAATGGGATTAAACCATTTGCTTGCCCTTGCAAAATGGAATGCTACATGAATTCAGAGGAATTTGAAAAACTTGTTACCTTACTTAAGTCCACTACTGATCCTCTCATTCATAAAATAGCGCAAATTGCAATGGGCATCATTAATGTCCATCCATTTGCCCAAGAATTCATCAATGAGGTGGGTGTAGTGACACTCATTGAAAGTTTGCTCAGTTTTCCTTCCTCTGAAATGAGAAAAAAGGCTGTGATTACTCTGAATCCCCCTTCGGGTGATGAAAGACAGCGCAAAGTTGAATTACATGTTAAGCATATGTGTAAGGAGACCATGTCTTTTCCCTTGAACTCACCAGGACAGCAGTCTGGATTAAAGATACTAGGGCAGCTGAGTACTAATTCTAACCATCACCACATCGTTGCCAATTACTTCTCAGAACTTTTCCATTTGCTATCCCAGGGAAATCGTAAAACCAGAAATCTTGTTTTGAAAGTACTTTTGAATATGTCTGAAAATCCAGCTGCAGCCAGAGATATGATCAACGCAGAGGCATTAGCAGCATTAAAACTTATCTTTAACCAGAAGGAGGCAAAGGCCAATCTTGTCAGTGCGGTGGCCATATTTATTAACATAAAGGAGCATATCAGAAAGGGCTCAATTGTAGTTGTTGATCACTCGAGTTATAATACTCTCATGGCCATCTTCCGGGAAGTCAAAGTGATTATTGAAACAATGTGAAGTGAGCCAGAAATAAGAGAGAACACTTTAACCAATCTCCGAACTGCAGTAGGGTGTCAATTCCAAAAGCGCTTTGCATAATGTTTTGATTATTACAGTGTGCACATTACAAATTACACCTTTCACACAATATTACCTGTGACAGTTCTGAGCTTTAAACTAGATGATTTCGAGGCTATCAAATGAGTACTACATTGTGAGATGAATGTATCTGTTGACTTTTTACCTTGTGTAGGTTAGAAGCATTTTAATATTGTACTTCGGAAGATAGTGAACCAGTTCATCAAAAGTAAGCTAACTTTGTTTATTAGTACTTGCTTAGATGCATTTGTGGCTTCAAACGGCATACAAAGAAAATACACTTGAATATATATGTTTAATCTAGCTGCAGAAATAAGACATATATACACAAAAAGATGACTAACAGTGCTTAGGTATATACGTACGCATCACACTGCCAGTGGTTCACTCAGCGTGCAAGAGGTAGACATTGCTGTATGGTGTTTAATGCAAAAGGTATTACTGTTTTTCCCCTATTCGACCTACATCAGTCAGCTCATTCTACAACACAACAATGGCCCTGAATCTCAGATAACATGTAAGGCTCATTTTTCTTACCATTACATCGATAGCTTAAATTGTTCGGCTATTTTATCTATGTCACAGTCATTTCATGGAAGAGAAAAGTGGTAGATTTATGGAGGAATCGTTTCCTGAGTACCTGCTCTGATGTCACATACTATTGGTACTATATTTTGCATGTTTTTTTTCCTCTCTCACAATTACCCTGGGTTGGGAACTGGCATCTTTTTTTATAATTACAGCTTGTACTGGGTGACTTCAATGAGAATTAGGTAAGTTAAGTATTTTGCTCATTCACACAGCAAGCAGATGGCATAGCTGTTGTGTCTGACACCAGAACCCACTCTTGAACAGCAGTCTTCAAGGCTCAGATACTTTTATCTTAATGATTTTGTTTTGCTGTAGATAATGTCCCTGCCAGGACTTAAAATTCTTAATGTCCTCCAAATGCACGTGTCCATTACGCATTTGCTGACTGGGACTTGGGATATATCTGGGACGAGTATATGGATTTGACCTGGCAGTATCTGACAAAGAGTAGGCGCCCCAAACTTGACTAAGACAGATTTGGAATCGTCAGAAGTGAAACTCACTTACATAGCTTTCCTACTTTTTTCAATCCCAATTCGCTGTTTTTTGTTTTTGTTTTTGTTTTTTGTTTTTTGGCCAAAGAACTGGAATCATTTTATACATTGTTTCATACATTGCTTTTTAAAAGACAATGGCTTCTACCGTTGGAACTCAGACCTTGACTTTTTTTGACTAATATTTATTCTCTTGTGTCATATGTAAAGGGCTTTACCTTTTACTAGTAGGCTAGCCCACTTTGTGCATTTGTACCAGCTAAAACTGTACAAGATAAATTCATTGGAGAAATTTAGATCTAGAACTGCAGCTTCATCAGTACAGAAGAGTTAGGAGAGAAGCTGCTGCCTTATCTCCGTGATGGTGATTCTTAGAAGTCTGCTTCCCACAGAAAGCATTGCCAGGCCTCGGGCGCTGGCTGTGTTTTCTAGGACTCTCGAGAATTACAACACCTGGTCTGAACTGGAGAGACCGTCTTAGTGTGTGAAAAATACTGGGTTATACGCTTTGAGATTTCTAAGAAGTTACACAAGATCATGTTGTAAATACTCTTTGTAACTTGCTTTCCACCCGGTAACTGTATATTGTGAACATCTTTCTATGTCAATAAATTGGCTTCTAAAATGAATTTTGAATCACTGCTTTTTCTGGGTTAAAATTTGGTATCTAGTATGCTAATCATTGCATATCTTGAAAATGAGCACAAATTTATTATTTTGCAAAAATAGGACTATAGTGTTGCATCTTTTCATCTTTACTATTATCTTCCCAATTTAGTATTATACAGATCTGCTACATTTTTTATTTAATAACTTTATTAAGGTATAATTGCTGTACAATTTGATAAGTTTTGACATGTAACATACACCCATGAAACTATCACCATAATTAGTGAACCTGTCACTCCCAAAACTTTGTCATCAATCCTTTATAGTCCCTTCCTTCCATTTCTCCCTGTCTCCCCATCCCAGACAACCAAAGGTTGGATTTCTAACAACACAGAATCATTTTATTCTGTAGTTTTATATAAATAGAATCATTTGGGACGTACTTTTTGGGGTGGTATGTGTCTGCTGCTTTCAGCATAATTGAGAGTCATCCTTTTTATTAGTGCATCAAGAGTTCTTTGCTTTTTTCCAAGTAGTGTTGCACTATCTATATAGGGATATCACAGTTTTATCCAGCTACCTGCTGATAGACGTTTGGGTTATTCCCGGATTTGTACTGCTATGAATATGCTTTGCGTCTCTTGCATAAATACCTAGGAATGGGGTGGTTGCATCATATGATAGATACACATTTAATTTATATTTTCCAAAGTGGTTATATTCCCACATCCTTAACAATAGTTGGTATGTGGTTCTTTGTAACTTTAGCCATATCTCATTGTAGTTCTAATTTATGTTTCTCTGATGACTAATGATGCTAAAACATCTTTTCATATGTATATTTGATATCCATATTTCTCAGGTGATGTATATTTTCGCCCCACCTTTTAATTTTTGTTTATTTTTGGAATAAACAATGTGTTTGTATAGAATGGATAGGCCTCTATTTCTTTTTAAATTTACTGGGGTAAAATTATTTTACACCACTGATTCAGAAGCATAGTACCCCTTTTCACGTGCTACCACAACAAAACAACCATAGTCTACCACCATAGTCCACACTGCTCCCTCCCCACTTTGCTCACCACTGACCCTCTGATAGCCTCAGTTCTGGAGTAAGCTTTCCAGGTTTTGTTGCTATATTTACTTTATCTGACCTTTGTTTCTCTACATTCCCATGTATGTGGCACCATCCAGTATTTGCCCTTCTGGCCCAGTATTTGACCATCTGGCTAATTTTGCTTAGCATAATCCCCAATAGCTCTAGCCTTGTTGTTGGAAATAGCAAGAGTTCAGACTACTGAGTAGTATTCCTTTGTGTATAATACCAAGTCTTCCTGATCCACTCATCTCTTTGGGGCGCTTTATGTTTCCATAGCTTGACCACTGTAAATAATGTCACGCACTGGGGATACAAGTTTTTCTTAGTATTGGTGTCTTTGTATTCTTCAGGTATATACCTAAGAGTGGAATTGCTGGGTCCATTTTTAATCTTTCTGAGAAACCCCCATACCCTTTTTTCCACAGGTCTGTAGCACTCTACATTCCCACCAATAGTGTAAGAGGTTTCCTTCTACCACAATCTCCTCACCAGCGCTGCTTGTTTCTAATCTTTGATGCAGGAGTGAGGTGGGAGCTCTGTGGGCTTTTGATTTGCATTTCCCTAATAAGTGATGATGAACACCTTCTTCATGAGCCTGTTGGCCATCTGCATGTCTTCTTTGGAGATGTGCCTAGTTATACTTCTATCCATTTTTTGACTGGGTTATTTTTTTGTTGTTGTATGAATTCTTTGTAGATCTTAGGTATCAGTCTCTTGTCAGACATATGGTGTGCAAATATTTTTTCCATTCACCAGAGTGTCTTCATTTTAGTTATGTTTTCTTTTTTTCTGTGCAGAGGCTTTTCAGTTTGATGGCATACTAGTCTATATTATCTCTGAAACATTCAGAAGGCAGTGCAGAGGTTTAGAGAGGAGAATGGACTGGATCTGTGTGCTCCATATCAACTTAAGTCTGAGCAGTTTTCCTGTTGGGATAATGAGTAAGAGTGTTTCAGAAAAGGTTTCCCCACGTAAAAATTGTTTTGACCACTGCCATAGATATCCACTCATCTATCTTTTAAAACAAGTTGGTATCTAATATTTGAAATGCCATTCTGCATGTTTCTGACTCTGACAATTTTACTATCTACTGAGTTTTATCAAGTGAAGAACCTATTCATGTTACCCAAAATATGTCCCTGCATTTGAGCGTCCCATCATGTATTAAAGGCTCTACATAATACTTCCAAATATATAGGCTAAGACCTTAGACAAGTTGCACTTTTGACATGTTACACCTGGCAGGCACAAGTAATCGTTTTGAATACAAATCTCAAATACTATTTTCTGTATTTTTAATAACAGGGTTCTCAGTTCCCTTGTCTTATATTTTTATTTGCTGTGAAAGCAGATCCCTGGACTTCACACATACTCATTTGTACAAATGTTACTCTATAAAAATTACTAGGGGTAGAATTTCTAGGTCCGAGGAAAACATTTTTCATTGTTAGTGACAGTATGGAATAGTGATTTTCAATACTGGTTGCATTATAATCACCTGGTGAGCTAGTGTCTCGGCTCCTGCTCCCAGGGACATTGATTTAATTGTGTTGCAGAATAACTTGGGCCTTGATAATTTTGAAAAATCTCCCTAGATGATTCTAATGTGCAGTCAAATTTGAAAAGCACTGTGGCAGAGATTCAGGTAATGTCATATGCTATTAGAAGAGGATAATTTAATATAGCCCCTTATAATGGCCAATTTGTCAGTTTGTATTAAAACATAAACATTCATGTATATGACTGATAAATTAGTTGATATTTACCCTATAGAATAAATGCATAAAAGTGAGAAAAGACATGTATTAATACGGTTATTGCAGCATTGTTTGTAACCTAAAAACTACAGATGTTCCAAATATCCATGAATAGGAGTTAAGTAAATTTTATTTCCATAACCTGGGCTATTTACTATGCATCAGTTTAAAATAATCAGAAAATCTGTACTTACTGTAACATGATTTTCTTTTGGGAAAGTAATAGTTTACATGCAGAGAAAATCTGAAATTACAAACCAAAATTCTAACTCTAGAAGGACTTGAATGATATGTTACTGTTTTGATTATCTTATTTTTAATTTTTCTTAGGTAAACTTAGATAAGTACTGCTTATGTAATAAAAATTATAAACAGGAGATCTGGTAAGCCATTGGTTACCTATATATATGTACATAGGTATCCCTAAATAAATTTTCAATTAAATGGTACTTCTTTAAGAGTAAATCGTTGAAGCAAGATACCAAGAGAAATTTCATGCACTCATATTATTCTTAAGAATTCTAAAAACAATGTAAGTGGGAGGGTGTAAACCTGAACTAAACTTACAGTATGCTCCAAAGTAAAGCAGTTCAGGAAGCCAGAACATCTCATCAAGGTGATTAAGGGGGATAGTCTCGTAACGTTTAGAAGGGTTGGCAGAGAAGTATATATTGCATAAGCAGGACTTAAGGAATCTGATAGACCCCCAAACCCTGAAAATGTACAATGGGGACTGTGTAATGCTTTGTTCTAAAAGGAATTGGTCAAGGGAGGGGAACAGTCATAGAGGGTCATTGTACACATAATTGACAGTTCAAAGAGTTATTTTACATTCAGATGTCAGATGTTCTAAATAGATGACTGTATTAAATAAGTCTTGCAAAGAGAATAATAAAATAGTTTGTGTTTTTATCTTTAAACCAGCCACAGAAGCAATTGGCTGTTAAATGGTTCGTGTATTTATATTGACAGTTAGGGTTTATCTGTGGAGTAACATCTAATTGGAACAACAACAACAAAGAAAAAAAACAATGAATGAAGACATCCCTTCTTTGTCCTGAAAAGGACATTCTCTACATCCTTTGGTTAAGGAAATATGAGTATCATATCAAAGGATACAACTGAAGAATAATCACCATAAGACCTTCACTACCATCAACAATGAATACAGAAAATGGAGCACTTATTCTCACTTCGTCACTACTGAGAGTTCCTTTATTACATGATTAAAGCAATGAATGAATGAGATACACGGTTATAGATACTGAAAAAGAAAGCAATCACTCATTTTTAAAATGGAAATTGAAAATTCAAAAATGAGTTCCTTGAAGGGCCTTTGTTGCCAGAAATTTCATTTATGGAAAAATCACAGGTGGAATGCACTGTCAGTATCTCAAACTGTAATGAAACACATTGAATTTGAGCAAGTCCCTTCTGTAGTCGTTATCCTCACACCTGAGCACCTTCAGGCAGACATCATGACTCAAATGTACCAATTAAGACCGTACATGTGAAAGTCTTAATGTTCTGTATGTGGAGGCACAACAGAGGCTTTACTAGCTTTTATACTAAGTATTTGACAATATACTGCTAGGAAGCAAATTAAATTTATTTTATTTTGAATTTTTAATAAAAATAATTAAAAATTCCTTTCTTTACCCAGTGATTTGAAAATGCCACTTTAATCATAAGCACTTATAAATACTTTGGTCTCTTTTTGAGCTTTCTATTCTACTTCATTAAATTATATATTATTGCATTAGTTTTAATTATTATAGTCTAATATAAGCAGCAAGTTTTTAAAAGTCATTACATATATTTTACATCATTGTTCATTTTAGAACAATGTTTATTTCCCCCTCCAGAAGGTTTCCTCCCCCCAGCTCACCCTAGCATCATCACCACAGTCGCCCACATTGCTCCCTCCCCCCTTCTGATCCCTCTCCTTCACACTCCCCTGCAGGATGTCTCTGGTTCATAATTGTCTGTTTTTGTTTTGTTGCGTTGGTGTTTTGTATTATTATTTTTCCCCATCTTATTTGGTTCCCCTATACTCCTCCTATAAGTGAAACCATCGATATTTCTCTTTTTCTTTCTTGCTTATTTCACTGAGCATGACCCCTTCTTGCTGAATCTATGTTGCTGCAAATAGCATCAGTTTATCTTTGATTGCTGAGTAGTATTCTATTATGTACATATACCACATCTTCTTGACCCAATCTTCTATTTGTGGACATGTGGGTTTAAACAGCAAGTTTCATATGCTTCTT